AGCTCCTCACTTCAAAATTAGATCCTTACCTATCCCTTGCACTGATTCATAATTGACCTCGATAGTTTTCCTTCAAATATGAAAGCAATACTGGTTCACTTCTCCTAGTGACAAATGCAATATCACGAAATGGAGGAACTCCGCGGAAGTTCCTGTACAAATAAACTATTATTGTGCATTAGAGACACTTTAGTATTGTACTTACGTACCTTGAACAATCAATGTGTATGAAATCCCAAAAATTATATTGGCAGTATTTATAAAAAATTTGTACATTACAAAACTGAACTTTTGTTCGAGCTTACAATCTAGGAGGGAACTCTGGGGGTCTTTAGGGGGTGGGGTGGCTGCATAAGTAGGTGATCTTAACTGTACAAATGGAGAAAACAGGGAACTAGAGAGAAGGAGGTCTTGTAATTATTGCGTGTTGGGTGCATTCGGTCGGTGTATGGTGGACAGCTTTGTATGATTTGGTCATGACCAGATCCTTAAATAGCCAGCGGCGAGGCAGGCCAGTGAGGAGGGAGTTGCAGTAGTCGAGTCGTGATATGATGAGGGAGTGGATGAGCTGTTTATGGTTTCTGGGGTTAGGAACGTGCGGATTTTGGCGATGTTCTTGTATTGTAAAGATTGGACTACTGGAAGGATACTGGAGTCCAGCTGAAATGTTCTTCAAATTTGCTTGCCCCCCTGGTCCCCACCCCATCCTGTCCTTTCCCTTATGATCAGAATGCTCTAGTCCTGTACTGACCCATTTTGATGATGTATCTGATCGATGTAAGGAGCATGCCTGGGACTTAGGGCATGCCTGTACTCTGTTTCTGGGGGGGGCGAATTTGGACCTCCAACTCCATTCTATCATTTTATGGAATATAAAATTTCTAGTCATTCATGATGTTTACACATTTTTTAGGTATGAACTTTGGTCCCGTAATCTGTCATGTATGACTGGGTTTGATTTTTAATTGCCATGTCCTGAAAGGAATTTGCTTTTATATTCATGATGTTTACACTTTTATCATGAATATTCACTAAAAAATTACATTGCAAAAAAAGATATTGATAAAATAAAAAAAAATTCATGGTTTCTAACTATTCCTCAATCTATCCATAAATGAAAAAAAAAAAGGTTTTGGCTGGACATAATAATAAAAATAAAAGAACTTCTATGGAGGACATTGTTTTGAAAATGTCCTCAGGCACAGAAGCACATTAAGGATATACAACAAGAAGTGCTGCCTTTTGTTTCTGTGACAGGGAAGCCCAGATTCTGCATACAACCACCTATAGACATGAATTACTGTGTGCAGCTACACGCTGGTACACCCATAAACCTGCATATAGCATAAGGACATATACACTGAATGCAGAACACATCTTATCTAATTCCTACATTATACACAAGATTCTTTCAGCTCATGTACATAGTCTTGCTTGAATGTCCTGCTTTAGATCACAGCATTTCAGTGAGACTGAGTGATTTATTTAACGTCTGTAAAATGCTCTTTGGTAACTTGTAGGATTTTAAATTCTATAGTTTAAAAAAAATAAATATTCACAAGAAAAAGATCCAGTAGTGCTGTGGGACAAAAAATAAACAATGTACAGGATGACCGTTGGGAGTCGGCCAACAGCTGTTGATAAATTGTGAGCACTTCTTGTCGAATGGCATCCTTCAATTCATTCAAATGACGGGGTTTATGAGTGAATACACTATTCTTCAGATCACTTCCATTTGCACAGCAAAGTCTTTTTGGTGCTCTGTAATCTCTCACGTTGAGCTGTTGAACAACCTACATTTTTTATGGATGGAATCTTAAATCTCTCTGTAAAATGATTTTCATTGATTCATGACTCAAACCTAGCTAACTTGTATGTTTTTCAGCAGACCGTCTCAGGCTCCTAACCAGTGCCTCTCTCACCCTTGCAATGTTTTCCGGCGTTCTGGGAGTGTGGGTGGGGCCTGGTGGTTTCTTGTTCATACTGTTTCCGGTTGTTCTGATATGTTCAACCCACCTAAGGACCCTACTGCGACTGTGAACAGCTCCATGTCGACCAACATAGAATTCTCGACTAAATAGCTGCAGCATTGCTAGGATAGACTCACCACTTCGAACAAAGCTGTCGAAAGCAAACAAATTATGTTGTAGCGTCCAGTGCTTCATTGTGACTGAATTGGCATTCCACTGGGGGGGGGGGGACTCCAAGCTTGTCCCCCTCCCATGACCACTTACCGTGTGCTACCTGTTCTAAAAACTCCCATCGGTCGGCCTGTATAATAGCTTGTATATATTTTCTTTATTATGTTAAATTAATATTATAAAAGGCCTTTTTAAAAGTCACAAAAATATAAATTAATGCATAATAATATTATGTATGTTATGTTCACCCTGGTTAACAAAAGTTATTACGTTGGGAAAGGCTTGAAATTACTCTCTTTAGAATTCTTTATTACTTATATGAAGAGTGTATAGCATGCAGTGCACTTCATTTTTAGAGAAAGTAGAAGCAGTACATAGAGTGGAACTGTAACCCACGCCACCAAGAAAAAACATATTTGTGAGCAGGCAGGCTTGCAAATTTCTTTGGAATGCACATTGAGTTTGGTGCTGATATGATTTGACTCTCATTCATGATGAGTGGGAGTTATGTCATGCCAGGCCAGCCAAACAAGATAGCCAAAGATGCCAAACCTGGAAGAAGACAAGGAGAAGATGACAGCATTGTGGACATTGTATTGATGGAGAAGAAGGTAAATATAAGCAGCTTTAATTCCACTTTAATTTTTTCCCTTTGAAAACTATCTGCCTAACTCTGGACTGAAATAGTCCAAAGTCTTTAGAATTCATTTGCTAATGCTTAGAAGTTTAATAAACTTCAAAAACTGTTGATTGATCTCTGAGATCCTTTTTGATTGGGTAACATTGCATTGCAGGTCAAAGCGACATCTTAATTGACTGAAAAGAAAAACAAAACTTATTTACTGGAATTCTTGGATCCAATTAAAGTAGAACTTATTATTAATATTTTTTAATCCCCTCCATACCCTAAAATAAATAGCTGGAGTTCTGAGAGGTGAACACGCTGTTGACATTTTATTACAGGAAATTATACAGTACTGACACTGCAGCAGTTTACACAAATAAATATAAAACCATTTACATCAATCCCTACCCCAAGAAAAACATACATGTCACAATCATAACCATCAGCATGAGTACACACATTTATTTCAACTTTGTGTGGAAGTCAATTAAGATATCAGTATGATATTTGGACTTTTGGATGAATATTTAAACATTTGTACAATAGTAGAAAAAATATTGCAAGCCTGTAAATTCTGTTTTTGTGCACAAATCCAAAAATAATACAAAAGGTTCCCAAATCTATTTTCAAAACTTAACTGAATGGATTCTGCATCACTTTTCAAGTTTTTTGTCACTCAGAAAAATTACTTTTGACAGATGTTACACAAATACCAATTTTAAAAAGAGTAACCAATAAAGTTTTTCATTTCTGAATCTAGCAGTGCACAAGTCTGCATCATTTAGTTCACGTATAGCTGTAGTTTAACGAAAGCTGAAATCCAGTTTTGTATTAATTCAAATAATAATTATCTTCATTTTTTAGTAAATTTAGCTGAGTTAGTTTTAACATTAGTGTTCTGTGTAATCTTCTAAATAGCAGGAATTTGATGGTGAGACATTGGGGCAATGCTCTGAGTCAATTAGGACTCTTTTGCTTTGCAATGTGCTTTCATTCTTCTTTCTTGAACAGAGAAGACAAGCATACTTCTTGTACCATCCTCCAACAGAGCTGGCAGCCATACATAATTCAGAGATCCACAGCTTCAACAGAGCTCTTGTGATATAAGATGAGAGTTGCACTCTGCTCCAAGGAAATCCTTCTGAGCAAGCTCACTGGGGTGAAACGTTTATAGGGAATGTTTTTTTTTTTCAAGTAGAGACTATATTTATGCAGCCACTTTATCATTAACAGAATAAAGTATAAAAAATGAGCTATCTACTTTGTGCGGCTCTTATCTTCTTATATCTTCATGTTGCAGTGGAGACGGGGAATAGGAGCCATCACGCAGATGGTTAATGGGCATTAAGAGGTGCAGGTTTGAACCGATGCCTTGGATTTTGAGAGCTCTTGCAATGTTTGCCTGGGCATAAGGACCTAGTAAAACCAGTAGATGTGCTTGATTTCAAGCATTACTTGATAGATTGACAGCAGGCTCTGCCTCTCAGTGCTTGCCGTAGCCAGCTGTACCTGCACCGTCTCCAACCTGATGCTCCAGTAAGCACTAGAAGAGCAAGCGGCGAGGAGTGACTGACAGTCACCACTCTCTGCTCCAAAAAGCCAGAAGTCATGAGGTCATTCAGTTCTTGGTCTTCAAGTTGACATGGGACAGATTGATGCTACAGCATAGAGGGGTGTATGAATGTAAATTTTTTTTTCTATACCCCAAACTTCTCTTTTAACATACTACAAACATATTAATAGTAAACAATGCAGCACTATACATTATGGACGCTAAAAGCAGGTTACAGGCTTCAGACTGAATTATTTGTTAGCTAGTAAGTATAAAGCACTGGATATGATCCCATACAGAAAATGTACTGTTCAAAGCTGCTGTATGCATCAAGCTCCTGAGTTCAAAATCATAACAGGAGCCAGTACTTCAAGATTAGACTGTCAGGCTCCATAGCACCCCCAACCGACAAAAAAAAAATGCAGAGCTGGACACTGAGCATCAGCCTAATGATAAGTCATGTGAAGATTGGCTTCATCTAGTCTCCTCCCATATGCCATGCCCCCTGATGCATTTCCCACAGGTTTAATCATAGAGAGGTACATATTTCATTAGGCTGATACTCAGTGTGTGGCTCCGATTTCTCTTTCTGGATTGCTATTGGATAATATGAGCTCTAACGTTCCTCAGCAGCATAGGTTACAGGTTGCCTTTACAGCCTATTCATCAACCTGACCCTGGATCACGTGTATATCAGCTGTGTATTAAGCTTAAAGTGATTATTTAGAAATATACATATATATAAATATTTTTTGTTACCTGAATTCACCAGCTTCTGTTCCATGATGCCACATCCTAGAACTTCCAACCAATTCTCCTGAAACTTGATCTCCATTTCGAAAGATGGGTGTGTAAATGGGAAGTAGCAGTTTACCCATCTAATCTCCAGTCCTGAGGATGAATATAAAATACATGATTTAAAGGCTTTACTCCAACATTGGATATCTAAGAAAACAAACAGCATAAATGTTTAATCGCTTTTTTTCCTAGCTGATAATTCTTGATACATGAAAAAATGCCCAGTCTACTGTAATCAGAAAAAAACATTTTATGAAATTCAGACAGTCTGTGAAAGCAAATCAATCATGTGTCAGGTTTTTGCTGCTACCAGACAGGGAGGAAAATAAGGAAAGATCATGAAGATAGCAGGAAGTTCTGTCATTCTCAGTAAATGGGAACGACTGGTAACCACTAAGAGTGTTCTTGTATTTAGAGCTGCACATGACAGAATATGCTGTCTTTACAGACTCTACCTGCACTGTAGGCATTTATTATCCTCCATACTTAGGTATCAGGATAACGAAGTCATTCTTAATAAAAACACAGTTGTCTAAATTGTCACAGAGCATCTACAGCATATTTTGAAAGCACAGAAATAACCAAATATATACTGCTTATCTTCTAAATTAAAATAATTCTAAAAACAATATACTCATCCGCTTTTCTGAAAAGTGCATAATGTTTAAAATAAAAACCTGTTGTCCAAAGAAAAAAAAAAAAGAAACTTGAAATACCATTTTTAACCAGTTAAAGCTTATTAAAATCATAACAAAAATATTCTCTGTTTTCACCTGGTGATCTGGCCAGTAACACAACACATGCTCTACAGTGCCCCCACTCTGCATGAAGGAGCACAGGGGCACCTTTGGACAGAAGCATTATCAGTTTGGGGGGAGGGTGGTGTTAGGTGTACAAGCAAATTTAAATACACTATCACATTGGGGCCAAACTCCATCTTATACTTTATAAACAGTTACAGCAACAGTTTTTTTTTGCTTTTGGGATAAGGGTTTTATATAAATAAATAAAAGCTGATCATTGTAAGAACCCCTGTCAGTGGTAAATGGTTTGTCTCATTCCTCTAAATGCTACATTTGCGAGAGAGCTTGTTGATTTGACAAACAACAGATGTCTTGGCCAGATCACCAGATGAAACTAAGGGAAAGAAAGCCTAAAAAAGAAAACAAATGCTGCCATTACATCTAGGAGTTGGTAAGCTACAATATGATAAATGTTTCCTTTTAGGTTTAATACTGCTTTAAGCTTTCACATCCGTATAACACTTACGGATTAGAGCAATTTTTACATTTGTGCTTTGGGGTTATTGCATAAATACCACTGCAGTTTAAAAAAATAATCTATTTAAGTATGTATTCTTAACTGAAGGGCTCATTCACACCATGGTGCAGAGACATCAGTTTTTTTTGCACGCGTTATGCCAGGGCACAACAAAATCAATTGTTCTCCATGGGTCCTGTTCACACCACAACACTGGTATTATCTGCAGACTTTGACACGTGCGGAGGAATCTGCAAGGTGTATAAAACTCATTGAAGCAAGCATGAAAACTGATGTAAACTGATGTCTCTGGAAGTAAAATCTGCACATCAGTTCTTCTGCACGTGTGGTGTGAACGGCCTCCTCCAAATCTCCAATTTTTTTTTTTTTTGCTGCTAAGGACCTGGTTTCCTGTTAAAAGGTGGCTACATGCCAACAGGGTAACTTGATGCATATATTGTGGTCTTGTTAGTTGACAGTGAGTTTCTGGAACTCTGCATTCACTCTAAACTCATCCATCTCAGGTATTATAACTCAACCAACACCTGAATTAGCCCTACTAGGACTAAGAATTAGTGAATTTCCAAAACAATTTCGCAAGCTAATAATGCATATCTTAATTGCTGCCCAATTGACAATTTCTAATAAATGGAAAAAAGACCTAGCATCCTCCATTTCCAAAGTTGTGGATAGAACACACACCTACAATGTTCATATGAACATTCATTCGCGCTAATTAATGGTAGCGAGGAGAAATTCAGGAAGGCATTGGAACCTTGGCTAGCCTTTGGCGAGCTTCGGAAATTATATATAATGGGCATACCTGTAGTTATTAAAAGAGCGGCACAGAACGGTCAGGATAAATACGTTTTAGTTTCTGTGGTTATTATTGCTTAGAACAAAGTAATTTCTAGTCTCTGACTGTGAGGTGATAAATGTTAACTTTAAGGACTTGTTGAGAGTCTCCTGACACTCGAAAAAATTGTGCTATTGTGCTGAAAACAGCATTACCTGTAAGTTGTACACACCCATTATCAACCAACAGTCTGTACGTTTTTTATGTATGTATACATTTTTCATTAAAACACTTATTGTTTTAAAAAAAAAAAAAAAGTGGCTACATTCTTTCTCCATGGTCCCACAGTATGTAGGAATATAGCCACCTTTTCTTGCGTACTCCCAAGATGGACTAGAGAGTTGGGACTATGGGATTTTCAGCATGCATATAACAATGCACATGACCGCAACTAACATATACTGCTTGTTCCAAGCAAACGGAAGTGAGGAGGAAAAAGAGAGGTTCAGGAACTCACAGAGGATATTAAAAGGAGACAGAAAAGCACAGTAAGAAAAATCTGTTTTACATATAAACACAGATTACAGGGCTATTAAATAGTGGATGTGTATTCATTGTTTTTGAAGAATAAGGATATAATTTAGTGTCACTTTAAACAGACCATACGCCGTATAATCTCCTTTAGCTCTACCACCAACTATATACTGTATATAAGGCCCTACACATTCTATACAAATTAAATCAATTTGGTTAGAATATTTATTTACTATAGGCATTTATATAGTGCCGAAAATTGATGCAGCGCTATATACAGTATATTGTAACTTCACATCAGTCCCTTCCCACAAGGAGCTTACATTCTACGGTCCCTAACTCACATTCACACATACGCATACTCTGGCCAATTTATAGAGTATTCAATTAACCTACCAGCATGTCTTTGGAGTGTGGGAGGAAATCAGAGTACCCAGGGGAAGACCACGCAGACACAGGGAGAATATGCAAACACCAGGCAAGTCGTGTCGTAGTTGGAATTCGAACCAACGACCACAGTGCTGCCCAATGGAAGTGCTAACCACTGTGCTGCCGAATATTCCATATTGTAGTATATTTCAAGAATATATACATTTTATGTAGAAAGAAAACTAAATAGCTACCACTGAAAAATGTTTTAAAGGGCAGGATGTGCAGGAGAGGAGGGCAGACAGTATGTCTAGAATTGGAATGCAGGCAGTATGATGGTGGGCAGTAAGTTCAGGGGACAAGTGCAGAGGGTATGACAATGTACAGCAGAAGAGCACAGAGGATATGATGATTGGCGATATGTGCAGAAGTTTAGTACACATATTTGCTAAATTTTTAGAAAGTCCATAGAACACAACACATGAGGGAGGCAGAGCCAGTGATGTCCCCACACACAAAGCGGAGAGATAGTGGAACTGCAGTTATTTGATAGTGGTATTGCTGATGTACCTGTAAACATTAAGTCGAATCAGATTGGTGGAATGTAAGTGCAGTTTTAAGTTTTATACTTGTAATTAAATAAACAAATGGTATATAAAATAAGATATTCCTGCGCCAACAAAAAAGTGCCAAATACAAAATATGTGTATCCCTCTTCTAAATTGCTGCTGTGCAGAAAATGTGAAAACACAAATAATATTTATAAATAAAACAGCGCAAAATAGACCTTCACGCAAATTTAGTAAATCACAAAACATAAATGTCCCATATTCATTGGTGCATATCTCTGTCAAAAACTCTTCAGGAAAGACACCCCAAAACCATTTGTGATGAAAGCTGAGGATTCCAAATGCTTTTAGGAAACTTCCACCTATCACCCATGCACACCAACATCAAATACACTCACCAGATTTTGGTGAATGAAAAGCCTTTAAGGATTTTTGGAAATCCCAAAACCCTCTTTTCATCAGATCAATAATAGCCTCCCCCACCAGGTTTGGATCTTCTTCCAGGTCCTCACTGCAGTATCCTTGTTTACTCCACCGTATCAGAGAAAAAAACTTATATAGTGTAATATTGCCAGATAGATGTTATAACAGAAGATAGAATCCAGGCCACTCACATTTTTCCAACTTGTAAAAGGCGCATTTATTTAAGCCAACACCAGCCTGATATTAGAAACCAGCAAACAGCCACAAAATCCAGGATTCTCACATCAATAGAAGCCAGAAAGAGCAGAGGAACAGCAGAAGACCAGTCTAAATCCCTCAAAATGGCCGCTGGAACGCACCGCCCGGCGTGCGCTCCACTCACCGGAAGTGACGTCAGACGTCGGATGTATGGACCGGAATTGCGTCAACGCGTTTTTCGCCCCTCCCACAGGGCACGAAACACGTTGACGCAATTCCGGTCCATACATCCGACGTCTGACGTCACTTCCGGTGAGTGGAGCGCACGCCGGGCGGTGCGTTCCTCAAAATGGCCGCTGGAACGCACCGCCCGGCGTGCGCTCCACTCACCGGAAGTGACGTCAGACGTCGGATGTATGGACCGGAATTGCGTCAACGCGTTTTTCGCCCCTCCCACAGGGCACGAAACACGTTGACGCAATTCCGGTCCATACATCCGACGTCTGACGTCACTTCCGGTGAGTGGAGCGCACGCCGGGCGGTGCGTTCCTCAAAATGGCCGCTGGAACGCACCGCCCGGCGTGCGCTCCACTCACCGGAAGTGACGTCAGACGTCGGATGTATGGACCGGAATTGCGTCAACGCATTTTGCGCTCCTCCCACTGACGTCACTTCCGTTGAGTGGAGCGCGGTGTGTTCCCAAAAATCCTTAAAGGCTTTTCATTCACCAAAATCTGGTGAGTGTATTTGATGTTGGTGTGCACGGGTGATAGGTGGAAGTTTCCTAAAAGCATTTGGAATCCTCAGCTTTCATCACAAATGGTTTTGGGGTGTCTTTCCTGAAGAGTTTTTGACAGAGATATGCACCAATGAATATGGGACATTTATGTTTTGTGATTTACTAAATTTGCATGAAGGTCTATTTTGCGCTGTTTTATTTATAA